ACACCATTCCCTTCATGCTTGGGAACCGACCATCCTTTTTGAACCCACGGTGGCTCCCTCTTCCGGTCAAGCTGCTCCTAGGCAAACGCAGCTCTGCGGAAGCCAAGGTGAGGAGGAGCAGCGCTGCACAAAACTTATGACCCATCAGCTTTGGTGCAAACTCCATGGGATTCCGGCTGAAAACGTTTGTTAAACAGGACACATGTGGATCCCTGTCTATTCCATGTCATCCTGCAAGATTGCAATATGTTGCAAGATATTGATCCTGCAAGAGCATGCTGTCCTCCAATCTTTAAGGTGTATTTGAGATTGATATGAGGCAGGCCACCTCACCACCAATTCCATTCGCGAATTGGAAGAAAAATACTTGCTGTATTTGCTTCAGCACTGGGCCAAAGGCTTTGATGCTTTGGACATACAAACAGAAATCAAACAAGTCGACTGACGTTTCAAAATGCTATAGATTGATGTTGAAGCGCAAACGTGGACAGATACTGGAGCTGGCTATGCAACAAATCTGCACATGTCGATGAGCACCTGTCTGCTCGTCATGCTAAACCGGTTAACTACTCCGCCCATTGGCACAGGTGGCACAGGAGAGGGGTCAAAACTTGGATTCACCTGAGAAACCCACGAGCAACTAAAACCCCTAAAACACAAGCACCGCGGTTCGTTTAATCTGAAACTAGCTATGCAGAAATGACTCGCAAACCAAAGTGGCTTGCTAGTTGCTCATGTGAGTCAGGAAGCTGCAAATAAACGCGAATTAGAGCCACAATGCATTGAGTCAAACTTGGCATCTGGAAGCTTTAAAAGACGCTTCTCAAAAAGGGTATTGGCGACTCTTGCGCTCTGCCTGGAAAAAAGGCTATACAATCGGTCCATCCTTTAGGTCCACTCCTTCACCCAGCTCATTCGGTGCGGCTTCGGGCTCAGATCTGACCCAGTTCGTGCAAGAGGCTGTCAGTCGCATGTCCCACATTGGTCAGATTCTTCTTCAACATCTTGCCAATCAATGAACGGATTTGCTCATCCATCCGTTCCAAACTCCCAAGCTCCGAGACAATGTAGTCAAAGATATCCTTCCTCACAGGGTCGAGTAAGACGAGACGTCGAAGATGGACGTGATGAAGGCCGGTGTTGGACGTGATGAAGGACAAACACCGATTGTAAACGGACGGGTAGGACGGACGGAATATGACTTTCCCTATAGGGATCCAGTCGTACCTTCTCAGGGAGCACGGTGATTGGAGACTATTAATGCAGGCGCCAGGAGGGCCCAGTCGTACCTTCTGATCAGGTACTTGGATCCCTAGGGCTTTGCATAGGTGCATTATGTTGAGGCCACTGAAAGGATTCCAAGGGTGAAGACCAGCCACAAGCAGCTTAGTCAAGTCTTGTTTGCAGGCGAGTTGCTTGTCCTTTTCAGAAGACGTCTGGCAGTTCACGACTTGCAAAGACTTGATCTTCTTACCCACTTCCAGCGCGATGTCAAAAGATGTGCAGCCATCCTGGTCTGGAAGACGAGGCGCCACATCTAAAGGTGCTTGCCAGAACTACAGAAACCATACCCCTTGAATTCTCGTTCACTATCCACATTGACATATTCTCTACATCTCAAGTGTACCAGGTCTTATTGGGAGATGCAACAAACAAATTGGGAGATGCAACAAACAATGTGGAGCAAAAAGCAAACATAAACACAAACATACACACTTCAATTCCCAAGTAGCATCTCCAATCACACCTGCATCGGTTCCAAAAACCAACTCGAGGTTCTCCCGGCTGGACAAGAAGAATTCGAACAAGCACCACACTCCTGGTGACTTGGCTATGTTGCAAAAGGTGGGGAAGTGCGCTTATTATATGTGTGAGTTTTCAAAAAAACAAACCCTTATGATCCCTTATGCATGTGAAGAACCAATGAAGCAAGTTCACGCAAGCGAAACATAAAGGTATCTTGCAGCTCTCCCCTACCAGACTCGCTTCTCAATTCACTCCCCGCAAAGCAAATGGCTGTACTGTCGTCTGATGTTGCGGGCCCCAACGTTCTGTACGTTGCTGTTTGACGGAACATGCTTGACATGCTGGACATGTTGCATAGTAACCCACCGATCTACGGCAACCGAAAATGAGTTGTTTGACATGGATGCTTATGTACTTTTCTTCGGACATGGATAGGACGTAGCTCATGCTGGACATGTTGCAGTCATGGCTCTGGTGAGAGGCTGCACTTGCTGATCCAACACCATGACCACTCCCTTGATCCCGCCGGTCAAAGCACGCGCGAAGGCGCTATCCATTGGATCATTTCCGAGTTCAGCTTCAATATTCCACTGGTTGTTGGCCTGAGCTTCGATCAATTGAATGGTGCTTTAGACATTTTCTCACCAGGTCACTTTAGCACTCTGCACATGCTTCCTTGATCAATGGTTTCTGATGATTTAAGGTTCACACTTGTGCCCCGGAAATGACATCAGGAATATGAGAAGAGTCATTGAATGAATCAAGAATAAACTAGCTACACTGTGTTGGTGACAAATCAACATTTGTGATCTGGTAAATCTGTCTGTCTCTTTCATTGCCTTTCTCTTACTATTGATTATAACTCCACCAACAGCATCAGGCATGAAGCTAGCACATTCAGGCATTCCCAGCGGCGAAGGAGCAAATCCAATAGGTGGCATCAGTCCATGTCAGTCCTCCCTTGGACATGGCGTGACACCGGATGGAGCGCACAAAGTGCGAGAAGCTCGTCCCCCAGGAATGCGACCTTCCAACAAGTTTTAAAATACATTGACAGCTTCACTATCAACAATATACTCATATA